CTGTCCGTCACCAATTGTTTCTGCCCATTTAGCAGGGGTCCTATTCCTCCCTGGGCCTTCCTTTTACTCCCTATATATCTAAAAAACAATTTCTTGTTGTCTTTTACTTGGGATGCCATCCTCAGCTCCATGGTAGCTTTGGCCCGTCTAACTGCCTCCCTACAAGCGCGATCAGAGGAGGTATATTTGACTTTGGTGATCTCTCCCTGTTTCCACTTTTTATGTGCTCCCCTTTTGCCCCTTAGGCTGCCCTGGATTTCTGTGGTCAGCCAGGGAAGCCTCCTGGCCCCTTTCCCTCTTTTACCTCGCATGGGAATTGTCTCGCTTTGTGTCCGAATGATCGTTTCCTTAAGGCACAGCCACCCTTCTTGGGCTCCCATCACTTCAAAACTCCTACTCTGCAGCGCATCCTTGACTAATCGCCTGAGTTCATTGAGATCAGTTTTCCTAAAGGCTAGCACTTTCACCCTACTAGTTACCTTACCCACTCGACGTCTTATGGTGAATTCTATTATTAGGTGATCACTGTCCCCCAGATGGCTACCGATCTGTAGGTCCCCTACCATGTCATCTCCTGTTGCCAATACCAGATCCAGTATGGCATTCCTCCTAGTAGCCTCTCCTCATAAGTTATGTTCTCAAGCTCTCTCACCACTTTTTCTGCCCTCTGCTGGACTCTTCACTGCATCCACATGCTTTCTGTAGTGGGGGCCCACAACTGGACACACAACTCTACATGTGCCCACTCCACTGCCGAATAGAGGGGAAGAATCACTTCCCTTGAGCTACTAGCAACACTCCTATAAATGTCCATACTGGGGTATGCCATTAGCCTTCTTGGCAACAAGAGTACACTGCTGGCTCATAGTCAGCTTACTGCCCACTTTAACCACCAGGGCCTTTTCTGCAGGATGGGTAATGAGCTTTGTGGAAGAGCTCCTACAGGATACGCATGGAGTCAAATGGCTTTTCAACACAAGGAGGGAAGCCTCAGTATTCCCAAAGGGAGATTACAACACACAGCATTTCACCCAGAGGATGCCTTCATTCTTTCCCCACCCTTCCACACAAGAGGCAGGACATGTCACAGCCTGCACCTCCTTTCCCTCTACTATCGCACTGCATAGGTCTTGAGAGCATGTAGAGATCCACCACAGGGGGATCGATTAAAATGTTCGGCTTGATTACCAAGGAAGATGCTATAGAGAATGGCATGGAGGGAAGGAGGGCAGGAGAGGCAGCTGGCAACCGGTGGTCCTCAGCTCTGACGAGGTTGGCTTCACCCTTCTGTGGATACACTGGTGCTAGACCAGATGGAGGAGAGAGTGAAGCTCTTCCCACACTCCAAACACTGATGGGGATTCTCCCTTTTGTGGATACGCTGGTGACGAGCCAGGTTGGAGGAGTAATTGAAGCTCTTCCCACATTGTGAGCACTGATGTGGCTTCTCCCCTGTGTGGATACGCTGGTGCAGAGCCAGGGTCGTGGCCTGAGAGAAGCCCTTCCCACACTCCAAACACTGATGTGGCTTCTCCCCTGTGTGGATACGCTGGTGCAGAGCCAGGGTCGTGGCCTGAGAGAAGCCCTTCCCACACTCCAAACACTGATGTGGCTTCTCCCCTGTGTGGATACGCTGGTGCAGAGCCAGGGTCGTGGCCTGAGAGAAGCCCTTCCCACACTCCAAACACTGATGTGGCTTCTCCCCTGTGTGGATACGCTGGTGCAGAGCCAGGGTCGTGGCCTGAGAGAAGCCCTTCCCACACTCCAAACACTGATGTGGCTTCTCCCCTGTGTGGATACGCTGGTGCAGAGCCAGGGTGGAGGCCTGAGTGAAGCTCTTCCCACACTCTGAGCACTGATATGGCTTCTTCCCTGTGTGGATACGCTGCTGCTGAGCCAGCCTGGAGGAGTGAGTGAAGGTCTTCCCACACTCTGAGCACTGATGTGGCTTATCCTTTGTGTGCATGCACCAGTGCCTCGCCAAGTTGGACAGCTGCCTGAATCTCTTCCTACACTTGGTGCACTGCTTCCGCACACACTCATGCTGGGACAGGTCTTGCAAGCAGATGAAATTCTTCCAGCACTCAGCGCAGTGGTGAGTGATCCTCCCTCGGGGGATGCACCGGTCCTGGGACAAGGAGAAAAAGCAGTGAAGCTCTTGCCACTCGTGCCACAGCTGTGTCTGACACTTCCCCCTCTGCACATATAGCTGCTTGACCAGGTCTGTGGGGCAAACAAATCTCTACCCGAATTTGGTGAAGCGGTGGGGTCTCTCTCTAGAATGGGTCTAGTGGTGAGCAACCAGGGCAGAGGCAGGTGAAGCTCTTCCCACACTTAGTGCATACATGGGACTTCTCCCCAGTCTACCTTATCTTGTGAAGAGCCAGGAGTGATGAGCACTTAAAGGTTTTCCTGACCTTCAGCTATGGCTGAGCTCTGCTCATGCTTGGCAGTGAGCTCCTACATTCCTCCGAGGTCCTCTCCACTGCCTTTGCTTGCATGCAGTGCATCTTTCCAGTGCCTCTTTAGGTCTCTCAACTGCGCAACCTTTTTCCTGCACCCGGGCTCTTTCTAGGTTCTGGCCTTCTCCACCCTCATGCCCAACTAGAGATGGTACCTGGCTCATGGCTACCTTCTGCTTCTGCTTCTGCTTTTGGGGCCTCCCCTGACTCTCGTAGCATCGCTTCTTCTCAGGTCTCAGGGAGTCCATCTCACCCAAACTCCCTGGGGAAGTCTGCGCTGGCTCCATGTCTGCAGACTCTTCCACAGGAGGCTGCTCCTCAGCTCTGCTCAGCAGCCAGGCACCTCCTGC